ATAGCAAACCACAACCATCCAATCAACTCCCCACAGACAAAATCAAGCCCCGCCCACATTTGTTCTTGTTCCAGAAGCGTTTCACTCGGATGAAAAGACATGCCGACTTAAAATAGTCATTGTATTCGCGCTGGAAAGCGTCACAGCAGTGTGCAGAAGAAGCCGAGTATGAAGCGTCGGATCAGTTTGCCGAAGTCCAAATGCTGTTCAATTCTTAAAGCCATTTCTCTGTCAGTTACACAAAGATAAGTCGACACAGGCCGTGAACAGAGAGAAGCGCAGCACTGGCTCAGCGTTCACTGCAAGTGTGGGAAGAGACTTTAACAGTCATTAACTAGAGTTTTGGTTTTGTATTTAGTCGTTTTGTTGTGTCCATTATAATAATTTTATTGGCAGGCAGTATTATGACTCATTATTTCTGTAATTTACTGCTAAATTTCTTATTTGTCCTTTTTTACAGTAGTTTCCAGTTTTTGCATCACCACATGGAATGCTCTTACACCTAAAGCCTTTATTTACAGTTTTTCTCGATTGCTAAGACACATTTCTTGAAAGCTGCTCTCCTTTTCTCTAAACTGTGAACACAAAACCCAATTTTCAAGCTATATTCACAAAACCTCAGACTCTTCTTGCTAAACCAAACTTTCACCTCAAAACAGTTCAATCTGTGCTCAAAACTGAACTATGTTGTCAAATCGTGCCCCAAGTCAATCAAAATTAAAAACGCTACTGAACAGTCACTAAACACTACGTAGAAAAATAGAAAACACAATGCTCAGGACATGAAGCTGGAGAAATAAATGTTTAGTGTTCACGGCTAAATGCATATTGCAAAACAAAAACAACTGTGCATTTAGCACTTGTACAAAAAGACAAAACAGAAATCTTGTGCATTTACACGTAGCACTTGTAAAAACAAACAGAAATCTTATGCGTTTGCCACTTGTGTACAGTACGCCCATGTAAAAATAAAGTACAAAAAAATACAAATAAGTGCATTACTCAGCCACAGCATCATGTCTCCGTACTGGGTCAGGCCACAGGACTTCATCCACATCACAGGCCACATTTTGTCTGGTCAGGCAACGGGGAAAACCCCTGACATGCCGTATCCAGGCTTGGCATGCCTCCACACCTGTGCCACCACAGGCGAGTCCCATGGCTTGCAGGAGATTTACCCTGGTGTAAGGTTGGCGTTCATATACCTTCCACCGCCATGAGGAGAAGAATTCCTCAATGGGGTTTAGGAAAGGGGAGTACGGTGGAAGGCAAAGATTACTGTACAGTAATACTGTAAAATCTTGGTTCATATTGAACCACTCTCTAACCTGGAGGGCTCTGTGAAAACTCTCTCAGAATCCTCTCAGATTTCTATCCATTGTAGGGCCTCACAAACCAGTGCTCTATGAACTGGCTTACTGTATATGTTCCCTCACATCATTAGCCACAAGTGTGATCAATTTTGAGTTGTGTTCAAGTGGTGACAACTGTGCTTTAATTGTGTTTGACTTTTGTCACCTGTGCTCACCATTATGCAGCACGGGTGCATCACAATGAAAATGTGTTGGCAAGTTGTGTCTAAACAGGTGAAAAGTTCTTATGGTTTTGCCAAAAGAGTGATTGATTCAATCAGTGGGTTCAGGCAACTGAGCATTTGGTTCAGACAATAGGGTTTAGTGTTTTAGCAATTGAGAAAAACTGTAATGCGTCATATAAGTATTTTTAATGCATTAATTATGCCTTATGCATTGTATGGTCTCATAATGCATTATAACTGTGGTTACAATTATACATAAGTCTCATCTATTTAGTGAACACACCATTAGAAAGTATAATGCATTAAAACACACGACAAACATATTATAATGCATTATCAAGTACATCATGAATACCTTTAAAATGCATTATACATGAAGGCTTTAAGACAGTGTTGCCGTTACGGGAATCTAAATTGTTGTTTTTTTTGGCTAGCTTTCAGTGATTTTTGGGAAAACCCAAAAAAATATTGGTCTTAGAAGATGTTTCTGTTTTGAGTCATCTGCGAAGCATTGTGTAATTGGTATAATCTGCACAATTGTTGGCCAACATGTCCTGTGTATTTAGGAGGACGTAATATTTTATGCTTTCTTCTCCACCTTATCTTGCTGAGACAGCGTGTTTCCCCGTGACCCGTTCCTCCTGCGAATCTACATCTAAAATGTTTTTATTGGAGCGTTTCTTGTTTAAAATGGCACATCTCCCGTTTCTTCTCATGCACTCACATTTGTAGCTCTCTTCCCATCTGTATACGTCTCCTCTTATTTTCTTTCTTTCCTGTTTTCACACTCTCCCATCCTCTCTTTGACTCATCTTCTCAGTCACACACTCGCGCAGTGATTCAGAGAGAAGACACGCTGAGTTTCTGTTCCTCATTGAACGCTGCCAAAAGAAGGGGTAGTTTGGCACTCGACCAACACACTGAAATACCGTACCCCGATCACCTCAACCTACACGCCTCACACACACACACACTCCGATTTTCTGCTTCTAATGTTCCGTGACTAAAGATGCCCATCTGTGCTCATAGCGCCTCGATATTCTATTCAGAAATATAGATGCCATCAAAATATGATGCAGTTCGAGGTGATCAGAAATGAAAGGAATCTTTCGACTGTGACTATTTTACTTTGTCATGGACTAATTCTTTCTCTCTAAAGAAAATGTTTTTTCTGCAAAAGAATCCTGTTCTTAATCCGCGTCTGTCTTGTTTTCTAGTAAATATATCTGAATGTCTTCAAAACACTTACATTTAACTGAGAAACTATATTGCATAAGATAAGTGTAAATTTGAGGTTCTACGTTTTATCATTTAGATTTTTATGCCTTGTAAATTTAAACATTTGGATTTTTTTGCCTTGTAAATTTAAACATTTGGATTTTTTTATGTGTTTAATATAGTTGTTGCTCATTATTATTATTATTATTATGGTAATAGTTTACAATAAGGTTTCAAAACCATATTTTTGGGTGAAAATATGAACTTGTCTAAGACTTTTGCACAGTGTACTGATACATATACTATATACACCGTATATACTCTATTATTCACCAATATTCTACACATTTAAACGGTATCAGACACACAAAAAAAGTATTTATCAAATTTGTGATGGGGCCAGAAATAGTTGGCATGAAAGTGTATTTTTTCTCTCCATATTTTTCATTTACCATTTTTTTAAGTATAAACCAGCATTTATTTATGTATTTTTTTTCTTGCCTTTCCATTATTGTAATTTGCTGACATTTCCAGGCTGTAGTTTCCTGATGAATAGTGCTACTTAATTTTTCCTATTTGTTCCTCTTTGTCTTTTTTAATTAGCAGTTTTTGCATTACCGCATGAAATGTTGTCCAGTGGGTGTAAGGGTCAGTGAAATTGTTTGTTTGTCTGGCTGTGAGTGTTTTTTTCCCCCAGTTATGCACAGCTTTCCCCTTCACTGGAGACATGCTGTGCTGTAAAGACATGACCATTACTGGAGCGAGTGACAGGAGTCGAGCATACACACTCATAATGCAGCATAATCACAGAAAATTGTGCCATTTCTCAGTCCTTTTCACAGATAATGATACCGCGTTTGCTCTCTTTCAAGAAAAACAACCGAATTAACAATTGTCATCGCAGTGTAAATGCATTAGTAGCCTTTCTGCTTGGGCACCTAAAGGCGTAGTGGTGTGAGCGTACAATGGCTTTAACTTTATTGTGCACAAATGACAGCCACTATTATGACTTGTATCAGCACAGATATGAGGAGAGTAGTTGTGAGGCGATGAGTGAAATTGGCAGTGAACTTCATCTGACCTTGAAAGTATTTCTAGCTGGAGGAAAAAAAATCCAGTCTATTTCATTTCACTAATTACGATATATTCTTGTTAAATTCTTGTAATGTAGGTTATTATAATACTTAATCCAATTTTACACAAGGGCCTGGATAATAAAGGACATTCACAGCTATGATTTAGATGAGGTATGCCATTTTATTCATCATAAATGTTCATAAATCTGTAATGCATTTTTGTGTGTGGGTTGATGTGTGTGTGTGTGTGTGTGTGTGTGTGTGTGTGTGCAGTTCGAGCACTGATGAGGCTCACCGACAGAAAGCTGGAGCGGATGTAAAACAGGTGTTGGTGTGTGTGTGTGTGTGTGCAGGTCGAGCACTGATGAGGCTCACCGACAGAAAGCTGGAGCGGATGTAAAACAGGTGTTGGTGTGTGTGTGTGTGTGTGTGTGTGTGTGTGTGTGCAGTTCGAGCACTGATGAGGCTCACCGACAGAAAGCTGGAGCGGATGTAAAACAGGTGTTGGTGTGTGTGTGTGTGTGTGCAGGTCGAGCGCTGATGAGGCTCACCGACAGAAAGCTGGAGCGGATGTAAAACAGGTGTTGGTGTGTGTGTGTGTGTGTGTGTGTGTGCAGTTCGAGCACTGATGAGGCTCACCGACAGAAAGCTGGAGCGGATGTAAAACAGGTGTTGGTGTGTGTGTGTGTGTGTGTGTGTGTGTGTGTGTGTGTGTGTGTGTGTGTGCAGGTCGAGCACTGATGAGGCTCACCGACAGAAAGCTGGAGCGGATGTAAAACAGGTGTTGGTGTGTGTGTGTGTGTGTGTGTGTGTGTGCAGTTCGAGCACTGATGAGGCTCACCGACAGAAAGCTGGAGCGGATGTAAAACAGGTGTTGGTGTGTGTGTGTGTGTGTGTGTGTGTGTGTGCAGGTCGAGCGCTGATGAGGCTCACCGACAGAAAGCTGGAGCGGATGTAAAACAGGTGTTGATGTGTGTGTGTGTGTGTGCAGGTCGAGCGCTGATGAGGCTCACCGACAGAAAGCTGGAGCGGATGTAAAACAGGTGTGTGTGTGTGTGTGTGTGTGTGTGTGTGTGCAGGTCGAGCGCTGATGAGGCTCACCGACAGAAAGCTGGAGCGGATGTAAAACAGGTGTTGATGTGTGTGTGTGTGTGTGTGTGTGTGTGCAGGTCGAGCGCTGATGAGGCTCACCGACAGAAAGCTGGAGCGGATGGGAATAATGCAGGAGATTCAGAGACAGTTCATCCTCCAGCAGGTCCTGCAGCTCCGCGTCAGAGAAGAAGTCCGAACCCTTCAGCTGCTCACGCAAGGTACACACACACACACACACACACCTGAACATCTCCATACACCTCACGGTACACACACACTTGAACATCTCCATACACCTCACGGTACACACACCTGAACATCTCCATACACCTCACGGTACACACACACACCTGAACATCTCCATACACCTCACGGTACACACACCTGAACATCTCCATACACCTCACGGTACACACACACACCTGAACATCTCCATACACCTCACGGTACACACACCTGAACATCTCCATACACCTCACGGTACACACACCTGAACATCTCCATACACCTCACGGTACACACACCTGAACATCTCCATACACCTCACGGTACACACACTTGAACATCTCCATACACCTCACGGTACACACACCTGAACATCTCCATACACCTCACGGTACACACACCTGAACATCTCCATACACCTCACGGTACACACACACACCTGAACATCTCCATACACCTCACGGTACACACACACACCTGAACATCTCCATACACCTCACGGTACACACACACCTGAACATCTCCATACACCTCACGGTACACACACACTTGAACATCTCCATACACCTCACGGTACACACACACACCTGAACATCTCCATACACCTCACGGTACACACACACACCTGAACATCTCCATACACCTCACGGTACACACACCTGAACATCTCCATACACCTCACGGTACACACACACACCTGAACATCTCCATACACCTCACGGTACACACACACACCTGAACATCTCCATACACCTCACGGTACACACACCTGAACATCTCCATACACCTCACGGTACACACACCTGAACATCTCCATACACCTCACGGTACACACACACACCTGAACATCTCCATACACCTCACGGTACACACACACACCTGAACATCTCCATACACCTCACGGTACACACACACACCTGAACATCTCCATACACCTCACGGTACACACACCTGAACATCTCCATACACCTCACGGTACACACACCTGAACATCTCCATACACCTCACGGTACACACACTTGAACATCTCCATACACCTCACGGTACACACACCTGAACATCTCCATACACCTCACGGTACACACACCTGAACATCTCCATACACCTCACGGTACACACACACACCTGAACATCTCCATACACCTCACGGTACACACACACACCTGAACATCTCCATACACCTCACGGTACACACACACCTGAACATCTCCATACACCTCACGGTACACACACACTTGAACATCTCCATACACCTCACGGTACACACACACACCTGAACATCTCCATACACCTCACGGTACACACACACACCTGAACATCTCCATACACCTCACGGTACACACACCTGAACATCTCCATACACCTCACGGTACACACACACACCTGAACATCTCCATACACCTCACGGTACACACACACACACCTGAACATCTCCATACACCTCACGGTACACACACCTGAACATCTCCATACACCTCACGGTACACACACCTGAACATCTCCATACACCTCACGGTACACACACACACCTGAACATCTCCATACACCTCACGGTACACACACACACCTGAACATCTCCATACACCTCACGGTACACACACACACCTGAACATCTCCATACACCTCACGGTACACACACACACCTGAACATCTCCATACACCTCACGGTACACACACACACCTGAACATCTCCATACACCTCACGGTACACACACACACCTGAACATCTCCATACACCTCACGGTACACACACACCTGAACATCTCCATACACCTCACGGTACACACACACACCTGAACATCTCCATACACCTCACGGTACACACACACACACCTGAACATCTCCATACACCTCACGGTACACACACACACCTGAACATCTCCATACACCTCACGGTACACACACCTGAACATCTCCATACACCTCACGGTACACACACCTGAACATCTCCATACACCTCACGGTACACACACACACCTGAACATCTCCATACACCTCACGGTACACACACCTGAACATCTCCATACACCTCACTGTACACACACACCTGAACATCTCCATACACCTCACGGTACACACACACACCTGAACATCTCCATACACCTCACTGTACACACACACCTGAACATCTCCATACACCTCACGGTACACACACACACCTGAACATCTCCATACACCTCACGGTACACACACACACCTGAACATCTCCATACACCTCACGGTACACACACACACCTGAACATCTCCATACACCTCACGGTACACACACACACCTGAACATCTCCATACACCTCACGGTACACACACACACCTGAACATCTCCATACACCTCACGGTACACACACACACCTGAACATCTCCATACACCTCACGGTACACACACACACCTGAACATCTCCATACACCTCACGGTACACACACACACTTGAACATCTCCATACACCTCACGGTACACACACACACTTGAACATCTCCATACACCTCACGGTACACACACACACCTGAACATCTCCATACACCTCACGGTACACACACACACCTGAACATCTCCATACACCTCACGGTACACACACACACCTGAACATCTCCATACACCTCACGGTACACACACACACTTGAACATCTCCATACACCTCACGGTACACACACACTTGAACATCTCCATACACCTCACGGTACACACACACACCTGAACATCTCCATACACCTCACGGTACACACACACACCTGAACATCTCCATACACCTCACGGTACACACACACCTGAACATCTCCATACACCTCACGGTACACACACACACCTGAACATCTCCATACACCTCACGGTACACACACACACCTGAACATCTCCATACACCTCACGGTACACACACACACCTGAACATCTCCATACACCTCACGGTACACACACACCTGAACATCTCCATACACCTCACGGTACACACACACCTGAACATCTCCATACACCTCACGGTACACACACCTGAACATCTCCATACACCTCACGGTACACACACACACCTGAACATCTCCATACACCTCACGGTACACACACACACTTGAACATCTCCATACACCTCACGGTACACACACACACTTGAACATCTCCATACACCTCACGGTACACACACACTTGAACATCTCCATACACCTCACGGTACACACACACACCTGAACATCTCCATACACCTCACGGTACACACACACACCTGAACATCTCCATACACCTCACGGTACACACACACCTGAACATCTCCATACACCTCACGGTACACACACACACCTGAACATCTCCATACACCTCACGGTACACACACACACACCTGAACATCTCCATACACCTCACGGTACACACACACACCTGAACATCTCCATACACCTCACGGTACACACACCTGAACATCTCCATACACCTCACGGTACACACACCTGAACATCTCCATACACCTCACGGTACACACACACACCTGAACATCTCCATACACCTCACGGTACACACACCTGAACATCTCCATACACCTCACTGTACACACACACCTGAACATCTCCATACACCTCACGGTACACACACACACCTGAACATCTCCATACACCTCACGGTACACACACACACTTGAACATCTCCATACACCTCACGGTACACACACACACCTGAACATCTCCATACACCTCACGGTACACACACACACCTGAACATCTCCATACACCTCACGGTACACACACACACCTGAACATCTCCATACACCTCACGGTACACACACACACCTGAACATCTCCATACACCTCACGGTACACACACACTTGAACATCTCCATACACCTCACGGTACACACACACTTGAACATCTCCATACACCTCACGGTACACACACACACTAGAACATCTCCATACACCTCACGGTACACACACACTTGAACATCTCCATACACCTCACGGTACACACACACACCTGAACATCTCCATAGACTTCTGATGCATTTACATGCAATTAATTAGACGTACTTCACCTTAACCCTGCCTACATAGATTTTAATTAAGGGATTACTCTATCCTTTTATGAACCGTTTTTTTTTACTGTAAGTGCCTAAAATAAGTAGTTAAGCGTATTGAGTAATGATGCCTGTCCTGTCTTAAGTTTGATTGACAGACAGACAGACAGACAGACAGACAGACAGACAGACAGATGGATGGACAGATTCTTTCTCCATTGAAGTAGATACGATTTGCACAACAGCTGTGTGTGTGTGTGTGTGTGTGCTCTCGAGTTCATCAGGATTCAGAACTCTTGAGCTCGGTGTTTACAGGCTAAGCATTCCTTGAAAAAGAGAGTTAGTGATTGAAAAGGAGAGAAACGGTGGTATTGTTTGGTAAAAGCTCCAGCTGTCACTGCTGTTAGTCTTCTTTCTGATAAACACACTGAATTAAACAATGACGTGCATGAGAACGGACACACACAGTTGCTGTCTAAACCAGCCAGAGTTTGCAACAGTCCAGTGAAGGACAGTATAGAGTAAATAGAGTAAAGTCTGATAGAGTAAAGCGAGTTTAACACCGTTTCTTAACCAAACGCCATGCGATAAGATTCCAGCGACAAGCAATTTATTTGTCCACACCAGAATATGAGACGTATCAAAAACAATCCAAAATCACAGCGCAGCCAATCAGAAGAGAGTGTGGGCAGAGTCTCTGTGCAAGCGCATTGCACTCGCAGCCAATCAGAAGAGAGTGTGGGCGGAGTCTCTGTGCAAACGCACTGCACTCGCAGCCAATCAGAAGAGAGTGTGGGTGGAGTCTCTGTGCAAGCGCACTGCACTCGCAGCCAATCAGAAGAGAGTGTGGGCGGAGTCTCTGTGCAAGCGCACTGCACTCACAGCCAATCAGAAGAGATTGTGGGCGGAGTCTCTCTGCAAGCGCACTGCACTCGCAGCCAATCAGAAGAGAGTGTGGGCGGAGTCTCTGTGCAAACGCACTGCACTCGCAGCCAATCAGAAGA